TATTTATGATATCCTGCAGTTAATGGAAGAATCTAGAAGCTTTTTTTCTTCGAATGAATATTGAGGAATAGAGTGAAGAAATAAAATGGAGTCACTGTAGTCAAGCTGCCAAATAGGTTGAGGTATGAGGAAACAAATCTTGTTTTAACAAGCCCGGGAACTTACGTTTTTGAACCCTCCAGTCCTGTGTCAATGTGATATACATCAAACCTCCAGAAAACTCTAATTAGCTCCCCTCCTCCCTGAGGGACTAAGAAAAAATACTCATGTATCTAGATATCCTGACACCCATTATCCAGACCACCAGTCATCTATCTAGAGGATTACTGTCTTGGACCGATCCAGAGGCTAAGAATGGCAGGACCGACTTTTCTCAAGCATGTACTGTTGTTTACTATAAGAACTCTTAGCTCAGCCCTGGCTGGTGTAGTTCAGTGGATTGAGCATGGGCCTGGGAATCAAAGGATCATGGTTTGATTTCCAGTTAGGGCACATGCCTGGGTTGCAGGCCAGTTCCCAGTAGGGGACATATAAGAGACAACCATACATTGATATTTCTCTCCTTCCCTTCCCCTGTAAAGATAAATAAATAAAATTTGTTTAAAAAAACTACTCTGAACTCTTTTCTTCTTCAGAACATTCTGCATATTGCCTAGTTGTGCTTCCAGTTTGCAAACTCTAATACCCTTGAATAAATAAATCTGTGTCATTTATTTCTAGTCAAAGCCTCCACACTCTTTTTTGAGTTTGTTCAATAACATATACAAGTAAAAATGTGATTATATTGCATCATATAAAAAACAGTGGAAAATTCCTTTCCCTTCTAAGAACCTTCAATATATGTAATAACAAGAGCTGACATTTACTGAGTGAGCATTTACCATGGCTAGGCAGATGAGAGATCAGTTAATCCTGACAGTCCATGTGGGTACCACTACCGTTCCCACTATACAGATGAAAAGCTGGGATGCAGAAGGGTTCACCCACACAACCAAGAACACAGTGGATCCAGGGCATGGTCTCAAGTCTGAGTTTGAAAACCTGGCTCTTAGCACTACTATGATTCTGTAGGGGGAAAAGTTGTTTTTTCCTACTCTCTTCCAGTATCTGGCAAAGAGAGATTAATAGGTCACTTGAATTGAACTGACAAAAGACAGATTAGACTTCCGCCAAGATGGAGGTTTAGGTGGATGTGCCGTGCCTCCTCACACAACCAAGTTTAGGGACAACTAAATATTAGCATCAGAAAACACAACCAGAACACGGAAAACTGAACTTTTCGGAAGTCCGCTAACAACAAATTCTTCAGCCCGACCGGTAAGGGGCAAAACCGGCGTCTGGTGAGGAGCTGCAAGGGAGGGCTCGGTCGGACCGGGCGCGGAATCCAGACGCGCGAATCCAGACGCACGGGTTCCAAACCCAGGATTGGACCTAGTGAGTGACCGAGCAACCCACCGGGTGAGCGACTGCAGAGGAGACAGTGGGGAGGCGGTGCAGCGAGTTGACTGCGGTTGCCTAATTGCGCGCGAGCGAGGGAGTGGGCGGTTGGACCTGCCTCGGCGGCAATACAGGGCGCCGCCATTTCCCCGCTCTGACCACGCCCCCACATACAGCGTCACAACCCAGCGACCTGGGAGTCCAAGGCGCAGTTTCTCACATTTAAAGGGCCAGAACAGACCAAAAATGTCGCAGGGTGACCTCAAAGTCCCAGAGATAAATCTAAGCGACGAAGAAATAGCAAAACTCTCAGACGCACAGTTTAAAACACTGGTCATCAGCTTCCTCACAGATCTGGTTGATTATAGCCACAAATTAGAGAAACACATGAAGGCTAAATTAAGGGAAATGAATGGAATTCCACAGGAAACCCATAGAGATGAAAAGGAAACTGGGACTCAAATCAATGGAGTGGACCAGAAGAAACCAAATAATGGCCAAACAGAAAAGAGTCAAGGAGCAAGAATTCAAAGAAATGAGGAGAGTCTTAGGAACCTCCAGGACATCTTTAAACGCTCCAATATCCGAATTATAGGGGTACCAGAAGGGGGAAAGACACAACCACCAGTGGAAAAACTATTTGAACAAATAATAAAAGAAAATTTCCCCAATCTGGCAAAGGAAATAGACTTCCAAGAAATCCAAGAAGCCCAGAGAGTACCAAAAAAGTTGGACTCAAGAAGAAACACACCAAGGCATATCATAATTATATTAGCCAAAATTAAAATGAAGGAGAGAATCCTAGAAGCAGCAAGAGCTAAGGGGACAGTCACCTACAAAGGAGTCCCCATCAGACTGTCAGCAGATTTCTCAAAAGAGACCTTGCAGGCAAGAAGGGGCTGGAAAGAAATATTCCAAATCATGAAATCTAAAGACCTACATCCAAGATTGCTCTATCCAGCAAAACTTTCATTTAGAATGGAAGGACAGATAAGGTGCTTCTCAGATAAGACCAAATTCAAGGAGTTCATCATCACCAAGCCCTTATTATATGAAATGTTAAAGGGACTTATCTAAGAAAAAGAAGTTAAAGAAACATGAACAGTGGAAGAACAACAAGCTCACAGTTATTAACAACCACACCTAAAACGAAAGCAAACTAAAAGAACAGCTAGATCAGGAGTGGAAATATAGAAATGAAGATCTCAAGGAGGGTTAGCAACAGGGGAGTGGGAGGAGGAGAAGGGGGGAGAAGGTACAGAAAATAAGTAGCATAGACAGTAGATAGAAAATAGATGGGGGGGGCAAGAATAGCATGGGAAATATAGAACCTAAAAGACTTGAGACACATGGACATAAACTAAAGGGGGGTAATGGTGGGGTTGGGGGGGCAGGGTGGAGGGGAATGAAGGGGGGAATAGAACAACTGTAACAGCATAATCAATTTAAAAAAATAAATTAATTAAAAAAAAAGAAAAAAAGACAGATTAACAAGCGATAAGATTTATTGTGCATGCAGGGGAAGAGGGCACTTACAGAAGTAAAAATCAAAAAAAAGTGGTTAGGCTTGAGAGCTTATAAACATTTAAAAAAACTTTTTAAAATTATTATTTTAAATTCATTTTTAGAGAGAGGGGAAGGGAGGAAGAAAGAGAGGGAGAGAAACATCTCCCCATAGGGGATCGAACCAGCAGCCTTTGGCTTTGTGGGTTGATACCCAACCGAGCCACACCAGTCAGGGCTTATAAACCATTTTAACAAAGGGTGATAAATTGTGGACAAGTGACAAGACAATGGAAAAGGGCATTGGGCTTCCAGGGGTTGTAAACTGTGGGAAGGAAAATATATGGGGGAAATTTATGGAAGATAAGCATTGTTTAGTAAAGTTTGTTATACGGACTCAAGTCAGTGGCATCTCCAGTGACAACGATTCAACTCCTCCTCTTCCTGAGATGGATGGTGCCTCTAAAAAGGGAAATTGTGCCCAGCTTTTAGGCAGAAAGGGAGAGGACATAGAGTTCCTCTGAAGTCTTCTGTTCCTCAATTGCCTTCAACTTAAAATAATATTTATGCCAAAGGGGCATGTTTTGGGGTGGCATATTCTGATCCCTTTCAGTTCCTACAACCCATTACACTGTGTTTAAAGTTCCCAAACAGGCCCTGGCTGGGTTGCTTAGTTGCTTAGATCATTCTCCTGATACACCAAGGGTGTGGGTTTGGTCCCAGCTCAGGGCAGGTAAGAATCAACCAATGAATGCAAGTGAACAACAAATCGATCTCTCTCTCTCTCTTTGTATTGATTGAAATCAATCAATACAAAATTTTTAAGTTCCCAAATATTTATTGAGCCCTATTACATGCTCAGCATTATAGGATCCTTGGACTGGATCCAGCTAAATATGGGAAGAAAAGCTTCTCAGTGTGAGACATGATGCTCCTTGGAGATAGGTGCCCCTTACATTTATTTGGACAGAGTTTCCGAGTTTCCAAGTGCTTCACACACACGGTTCTGTCTTTGGTCTGGTCATCGCAAACAACTTTATGAAGCAGACTGGTTCGCTTGTTTCTATTGTACAGAAAACTGACTTAGAAGTCAAACAACTTACTCAAAGATCTGACTCCTTTTACTGCTATACCCCCACACACATACAGCATTTGCTGGTGGAGCTGGTACCGGCTCGAATCCTGACTGGAGCAGCCTGAACTCATCCCCACCCATCTTTGTTGATTCACAGCATGGATGGGTCATTAGGCGGAGGCTAATTTCAGAGAAATTTACCTCCTGTCAGTCTAGTACTGGTTGTTTATAGAAAGAAGTCTCTTTCCAAAAAAAGTGTGCGGGCTATTAGGGGTAGGTTCGGCAGAATTTCCTTTTGGTGGTTAGTTTGCTGCCTAATAGCTTTTGATAGTGATTGTGTTTGGAAGAGAACTAAACTGTATCTCATTGAAGACACTCTCCTTTAGATCTGTTACAAATCTATACCAGAGTCCCTTTTTCCACAATCTCGCACAACCCGGAAATTTAGCAGAAACATGGGTTGGCTCTAACAGCCATTCTCAGTCAGCCCTCTTGTCTGTAAAGGATGAAAAGTCCGCACTCATTTCCCCAAACTTTTTTGTATCGAGAGGTGGGTGGTAGAGGAAGGCGGCTGGGGCAGAGGACGGCATCAGAGGCGAGGATTTTTTCCCTCCCTATAAAAGGAGAGTCCCGACTGAAGGAAGTTTTTCTCTTACAGTTTTGGCCAGCTCTCTGTTCCGTGCTTTTGTGTGAAGTCGTGTTAGGCCGAGGCAGCTCGGGGGCGAGGCTTGTGGAAGTTAGGGGCGGTGCGAAGAGCTGAAGGGTAGGGGTGCTGTGGTCCAGCGATGAGAAAACCGCTCGGTGAAGCGGAAATCACACTCCCTTTGCTTACTCCACCGCCCGACCAGCAGTCAGTGGGCGGGGCCACAATCGGGGCGTGGCCGACCAGACCTTAGAACCCCGCCTGTTGGGGGCGGAGCTAAGGCGGAAGGGCGGGGCCGCGCTCCCTCCGGGCGTGGTCTATGGAATCTAAGAACCCCGGCTACTCGAGGCATCCGCGAGGACCCCGGCGCGGGGTTCCTCCCACGCAGCCTCCCATTCAAAAGATGCCGAAGGGGCGGCGCGGCCGCCAGAGCCCCACGATGAGCCAGCGGCCAGCCCCTCCCCTCTATTTCCCGTCCCTCTACGACCGCGGCATCTCCTCGTCCCCTCTCAGCGACTTCAACATCTGGAAGAAGCTCTTTGTGCCGCTGAAGGCAGGCGCGGCGGCGGGGGGCCGGTCCCTGCCTCAGGCGTCCCCGGCCCCGATGCCCCCGCCGCCACCACCAGGCCTGGGTCCCCCCAGCGAGCGCCCCTGTCCCCCGCCCTGGCCCTCTGGCCTGGCCTCCATCCCCTATGAGCCTCTGCGCTTCTTCTACTCGCCGCCTCCGGGGCCCGAGGTGGCTGCCTCGCCCCTGGCCCAATGCCCCACGACCTCCCGGCTCGCCTCTGCCTCCCACCCCGAGGAACTGTGCGAGCTGGAGATCCGGATTAAGGAGCTGGAGCTGCTCACCATCACTGGGGACGGCTTCGACTCCCAGCGCTGTGCGTGACTTCCCTGGGGGCGCCTGAGCCCACCCTTAGCCTGCTTTGGCTCACTCCTTGGCTCCATGTCCCCATCCCCTCCCCTGCAATGTGGCCTCGGGCTCAGACTCCAGCACCCAAGGGTCCCAGATCCCAAGTCAATCCCCCATCCTGGATTTCAACCGACTCCTTTCCCCACGGATCCTTTTGTCCCAAACTCCATCCTGAGCCCTTTCCATAATCTGGACTCTGAGCCCCAGGCCTGGAACTCCATCCACCACAACCCCCAGACTGAACTTTAAACCTCCTGCACAGTAATACTACCACCCCTGGAGCCCCACCCACCGCAGGCAGTCCCCCTCTAGAGGATCGAGATTTAGTGTTGATCTTAAAGCGGGGTCCTTGCCTGGGAGGTAGGGGAAGTGGGTGAAAGTCAGTTGGACTGTCTGTAAGGAGCAGATGGGAATTGTGCAAGACCCAGGGGGCTCATGGACATTCATTGAGGGGCTTTGGAACCCTCCACTTCTCAGTACTGGAAGGTAGCTTTCCTGTTATCCCCACCCCTCAACTTGTAGCCCTTTCACCAGGGTTCTGGACTCTGCCATCTGATTTTAGGATCGAAGTCTTAGGGATCTTAACCAGGGCAGACCACGTATGCTCATGTGGGTGGGATTCCTTTAGAATGTAAGCAGATTGAGTCCTTTCTGTTGGAGAGTAAAATGATCAAGTTCAATTGTTCTCCTAGAGAACCTACTGCATTGTAGAATATTCAGTAGCCATAGGCTATTCTGCAGACTTTGTCTTTCCCATCACCTGTTCTAAGGCTAGCACTTGACCACTGGAGGAGGGCAGATGGTTCTAGAAAGACCATCTTCATTATTGCATAAGACAGGTGAAACTGCCCCCTCCCCCCACTACCCCACAAACTGCCCCCTTCCCCCACAAACTGGGAAGGGGGTTATGAAATAAGCTAAATGTTTAGGTCCATATGGCTGTGGGTCCTAATTTGTTATATACCTTATAATGCTCCCTTCCCCATAGCTAGGGGAAGAAAACAGTTCTTAGAAAACTTGGACTTAGAATTCTAAGTCCTGAATTTCTCAACCGCATATTCTCCACTTACACATGTTTTGGCTATTAGGGATTTTTCCCCCCACCCAGGTTGGACCATAACAGGTTTTTGTCTCACATAAGGAGCACATAATTGCTTCAGCAGTGTTAGAAAAAGCCTTCTCTCTACTCCAGCTGAGTTTGTTGTGCTCTCCCACAGATAAGTTCTTGAAGGCGCTGAAAGATGAAAAGTTACAAGGACTGAAGACCAGGCAGCCTGGAAAGAAGTCAGCCTCTCTCTCCTGAGGAGCTGCCCACCGAGTCCGGGTAGCCACCTCCTTAGGCGTTAGTGCTTAGATAATGTGTCCTGTTTGTTGTCATTTCAAAGATTGTTATTTTCTGTTCTGTATTTACTGCTGTTCTTGTTGCTTCCAGCATGTACTCCACATACAGTGCCCACTTATGTGGTAAACCTCATGGTCTCTCTCCTTTTTGTGCTGCTGCTGAGGCAGGGCGGGTGGGGGGGGGCTCTCTTGTGGGGTGTGGAAGCTGCTGCCCAGCCAGCATTCAGAGGGTCCCAAAACCAGGGGAGGGGGGCTCCCCGCACTGCCGAGTCGGGAGGGAATTGGGGAAAACCAAGGGCAATGCATCCTCGGTCCTGTTACTGTGTCCTTGCTCAGAAAGGCTCTTGAAGGACAGGAATAGTGGGTTTGTTTTCCAACAGTGTGAGTCTTTGGAAGTGTTTTGTTTTTCAGTGTTTTTTTTTTTTTTTTTACCAGAAAACTCTTTGATAATCTTATCAAAGCCACAGTCCTTCCTAGAAATTAATATATCCAGGAAGTAGTTCTGAGAGCTTATTCTGTGCCAGGAACCCTCCTGGGCTCTTATGATTGGGGGTGGAGGAGACACAGATAATATTATAAATAGGTAAGTGATAATATAGTATCACCAATGATAACGAAATAAGGAGAATGACCCACAGGTCCCCTGCCTGCTGCCAGGAAAGTCAAACTCATGAGGCAGGTACTTGTTGAGAAGGAAAGGGGTTTATTCAGGAATCGACAGCCTGAAAAGATGGCAGGCTCATGCCTTCCAAACCATCTTAGCATATCAGGCATCCTGGCCAGGTTATATAGAGGAACTGTGTGTGTGTCGGGGGTAGGTTGCTAAGGACATTCTAAGGAAACAGTTTCACAGCTTTGCTCTCAGGCGGCCTCATCGTCACTGCCTGTGTGTGTCATCATGCAGTTCCATCACTCTGCCTCCAGTTTTATTGCTGGTGTTCAGCAGCAGGACACGCAGTCCGAATTTCTGCTGGTTCTGACAGGAATTGTGGGCGTTTGCCCAGGACTTGTCATCAGGGTTGTTCCTTGTCAGGTAGGAGCTGCACCTGCGGACACCTACCAATTACTCATAAGGAAGCTCGTAGTACATGCTTTTTCTGTGAGTCTGTCAGTACAGCCTATTCTGTAATTATTACTTGATTAGCATATTATTTTTTATTTTCTTCAATCACTGCTACAATAACACACTAAGGGGGGGAAATGGAGAGCAAGGTAAGGATAGTCAGGAGAGTCAGAGGAAAGCAAGGTGGAATTTCAAATACGGTTTCTTGGAGAGGTAGTATTTAAATAAGCTTTGAAGGTGGTTGAGGGTAATAGCCACGTGGCATCTTAGGAATGCTCCAGACACAAGAACCAGTGCAAAGGCTGAAGGTGGGGGCGAGCTGCGATATTTGAGGGTCTGCCAAAAGCCCAGATGGCAGGAGCAGGGGGAGTGAGAGGAGAGTGGCAGGGCTGCTCTCGTACAGGGGCGTTCACGTCAGACCTCCCAGCCCCGGTAAGGACACGGCATTCTACTCCCAATGGGGTGGGGAGCGGGTAGGGGGTTTTCAGCCAGGGAGTGACAGGGACTGACGTGTGCTGGAGGTTGAGAACAGACTAAGGGAGGAAGCGGGGAAAGCAGGTAGGAGGCTGTAGTAATGAATAATCCAGCTAAGCGAGAAGTGACAGTGCAGCCCCACATGCCCTTTCCCCTTGCTTAAAGAGAGGTGTCCACAGATCACCTGCTGCTGCCAGCAACCCCACCCTGACTTGCCAGGTGCTGTCTCCATGGTGAGGAGGAGCAAGAGTGAGATCTCAGCCACACAAGCACACAAGTAAAGGAAAAAGTATTTTATGAAACAAATCTTCAATCAAGTATAACATTTTGAAGTTTAGCATCTAGACACCCTTGTGCCTTCACTATGCCAGCAGCAACTGTAGCTAAAGGATTTGTGAAGTGTGGGCTTCTTGCAAAGAAGAATGAAAAGGAGTGGCTAGTGAGTCAGGTGTCTTTGAAGCTCAGTGTAGGAGGTCCTCAGAGGTGGGACCCGGCTCTGACAAACAGTGGGGAGCCAGGTGGAAATTGGCAGGCTGTGGGGGGGGGGGGGGGGGGGGGGGTGCGCGCACATGCCAGACTCTGGGGTGCAGCTGATAACCAGCTGCAGCTACCTGTTGTCCAGCCAGGAGTGAGGGCACAGTGTCTGGTAAAAACCCCTGCCTTCTAAGTCTTAGCAATCAATTCAAATATTTCCAAACAATGCAGGCCAAATACAACAAAGGCTGGATGGTCCCCTGGAGTTTGCAGCCCCCACCACCAGGAGTGCCAGCCAAGATTCCAGGCTCCGCCTCCCCTCTTGTTTGCCCCAGGTTGGTCCTCATCAGAGCAGCAGCCTTGTTCTTCCAGAAAACTTGAGGCTGGCGAGCCCAGTGAGGGGGTTGGAGAATCTTGATCAGAATAAATCAGGCGTCGGGAAAACCCAGGGCCTAACTCCGGTGGAGACAGAGTGACCTGGTGGGGGGCCTTTTGCCCATGCCCTGCCCAGAGTCCCAGCTTCCACTCCTCCCTGCACCGTGCTCACGAGATCAGTAACTAGAAATCGGCTGCAATGGCAGTATCACAATGTGGAAACAGGCAAATGTGCAAACCAGAGTTGTTCTTCCCTCTCCCTTGGTGGTTAAACAATCACTAATACACCACCAGATAAGAAGGAAGGAATCCAAGTACCACTTCATTTATAACTGAGCTAAGGGGGAAACCGCTTTGGAGCTTTCCAAGTTGAGCTGAAGGTATCAGAGAAGCTGCCGGCTTCCTTTGCCCACTCAGCGGGGAGGGCTCAGGAAGGCAGGCTTCCGTTTATGATGGGCTCTCCGGGAGCTCACGTGGACTGGCTCTGCAGGTGGAATAAGCCTGCCCCTTGGGGAAGCAGTGCCCAGGGAATGCCCTAGACTCTATCCAATCAGATTAGCAACTGTCACTTTCGGGAAATGAGGATAGAGGGGGGCAGAGGTAACGGCCTGCAGGGGGAGGAGGACTGAAGTCCCTCCTCTGCAGTGACAACTGTTTTGCCCAAGATGGAATATGAAACTTGATAGTCCCTGGAACCAGCTATTTATATCATGACCCTTTCTTCAGAGAAATACAAATTTCAAGTGTGACGGGAAAACCTCCCACTGCCTTATCTAAGTAGTCTGCGCCCCACTCTGTGGCCAATGGGGTCAGGCAGGAGCCGGCACCAGCCGGCAAGGGCCTGGCTTCTCAGAAAATGAGAAGAGCAAATCCCAGCTTCAAGACTTCCTGGCTCCCGGCAGGCGAACACCACCTCGGCGCCTCCTGAAACGCTGCCCTCTTCCTTTCAACAGCATCTTGATTTTGTAACAGACCAGGTCTGTGATCTTGGCAAAGTTACCTAACCTCTCTGAGTCTGTGTCCTCCTCTGTAAAGTGGAGACACTGGCTGCTCTCCCAGGATGATTGGGTGGGGTCAACAAGTAGAGTGATATGAAGCTTCCGCCGGTGGGGAGTCATCAGTGCTGTTCTCCAGTGTGCTGAAGACACAGCCCTCACTGTGGAACTACTGGTGCATGGAAGGGTGGCAACCACAGGAGATGAGCTGCAGGGAGAAGCCTTGAATTTGCAAAGCCCAGAGCTCAGCCTCACAAAGGCGACTGGGGGTGAGCTGGGCTGGGAGGCAGGCTGGCTCTTTTCTAGAGAGAGCTGACCTCTTTCCTCCCAGGCACTGTCAGGCAAGGCCAAGGGCACGACCTCTGTGGAGGTGGTGCTTCAAAGAAAGGGCTTTAGTCGTCACTAAAGGGCTTTAGTCCTTTTGTCCTGTCCACACCACGGACGGCATCAGCACATCCAAGAGGGTGCCTGTGCGGTGATGGAGGCAAAGTGACTGGAGAGAAATCCAGGAAATGCATCCGTGACTCACAGCTGGGAAATGACTGCTGTAGGGGCTCTTTGGGTGGCGAGGGAAAAGAAGGCCACTGAGATTAGCTTACTTAAACAACAAGAGTGGCCAACAGGAGGGTTCTTTGTCTACAAGCAGTAGAATCTAATGCGGGAGAAACAGAAGAGGGAGGCCTCCAGGCCTTCGGAAGGAAAGGAAGGACAAGCTGCTGCTGCACGGCTCGGCCCCAGCTAGCGTTCCTCGGAGAGGAAATGGGACTGGCTCATCTGGGCTACGTGCTCGTGTCTGTCCCTGGTGGGGATGGGTGGCCAGGGTCCTATGATTGCAGCCCCGCTAGAAGGGCTTGGAGTGGGGGAAGCCACTATAGACAAAGACATCACATGTTTCCTCAGGGGCTTCATGCCTTTTAGCACCAAGGCTTAGAAGCCACCAGAAGCCCAGGCGGTTGATATCCTATCTCTCACTTCATACACCTGTCGTACCTGCCGCCTTTCCTGCCCTTTTCAGCTAGCTTCCTCATAACTTCTGTACTAACTGACTCATAGGAGCCTTGTGAGTTGTCCACAATGGAGTGACTCATTAGCTGGCTTTGATCTAAGCTACAGGCTGGGGGAGAGGAGAGGCAGAGCAGGAAAGGTCTCATAATCAGCTGTTGATTCAACATGATTCTCCCGGAAGGAGGAAAAAGGACTAGCTGTCCCATCTGTCTGTTATCTGGCAAAGGCACCTGGTCCTGAGTGGGTCTGCCTAGGGCTAGATGGTAGCGTGTGGGTTCTTGACTTCATGTAAAAAAAGATTTCCCAGCACAAGCCCAGGTGACTATGAGGATGCATTTATTAAAGCTGCAGACAGTGAAACAAGAAAGGGCTTAGCATAGAGTAAACGACAGGAAAGCCCAGGCTGGGCTGCCTTAGCTCACTGGGGAATTGGAAGAAAGGGGGCCTTGGGGACAGGTACAGGGGATTAGCCTGTGATGAGCTGCCCACGCCCATTGCTCCCTTGGTTGCAAGTCTCTTGGAGACCCTTAGAATTTAGGAGCTGTGTGTCTGTGGGGGAAGGAGAAAGAGAGGGGGAAGGAAATGGCTCAGGCTACTCCCCAGGAGGAAAGCCTTTTATCTCTGTTGCAGGTGGGAATTTAGGGGAGGTCTCAAAGGAGGGTTCAGCAGAATATCCATCAGTTTTCCAGGTGTGCCCCTTCAGGGTTGGGGTCTGCATTGATTGGTTGGTGCCAGGGCAGAGGGTCCTTAGTAATTGTAGCCGGGTCTGGGTTGCCCAACTGGTTTTGCTGCTTTTCTGGGCCTGGAGCTGAAATACAAGGAGGCCTAGATGTTATCTCTAGGGGTGTGATGTTTTATATCTGGCTATAAATTGCTCTGCCGTTTTGTTCAGCTTTCTCAGTTTCCCTATTCCACTTGTCCTGGCTTACCGACCTGTCTCATGTCCATTCACAAACTCACTCAGATTATTAATCTCATCTGAGAGTTTATCTGAATGCAGCATAAACATTCTAGAGCTAAAAACATTGCTCCTGAATTAAGCCTGTACTCGTTGGTTCATTCATTTATTCATCCAAGTGTTCTTTTAATAAAGCAGGTTCTGAACTCCTCTGAGCCCCTTAACTCATCAGAAATGGCGCATGATAACCCCCCCCACCTGGGTTGCTGGGAATGAACTGAGATAATGTGTCAATTGCTCAGCCTGAGACCTGACACACAGCACCATCATTTGCCCCTTAGGGTCTGCGGGGCAAATTTGCATCAAGGTTTCTGGTCTTTAACACAAAATCCTCTTGTGTGTCTCATGGTGGGGTCCACCAGATGGCAGCATGGATTTAGAAGTGGGATGAAACAGCTCACTCCCCCCCCCTCCTCGTCCTCTCACATCCAGGGCTGACATTTATTAGCTTGCTCCTTATTATCCAGAAGAAAATCCAATTTGGAAACCTTCTGGGAGGAGGAGACACTGTGGCTGTTAAAGGCAGCTGTTGCAAAGATACACACAGGTGCAGCCCCGGCTTTTGCCCAGAGGCTGCAGGTGGCTGCCCTTAGAGAGCCACGTTTCACTTGCACAGGGGCCATCGCTCTTCAGAACCAGTTTAAAGGTAAAAAATCCAGTTTACATGAGCAAAATAAGCTGGATTAAATATATGATCTGTATTGGTATGCTCTGGCTGCTATAACAATACTACAGATGGGATGGCTTAACAACAGACTTTTATTTCTCACAGTTCTGGAGGCTGGGGAGTCCAAGATCAAGGTGCTAGCCAATTGAGTTCCTGGTGCAAGCTCTCTTCCTGACTTGTAGATGGCTGCCTTCTGGCTGTGTCCTCATGTGGCAGAAACAGAGCTCATGTTTCTCTTCTTCTTATAAGGACATCCCATCGCTAGGGCCCCGCCCTCAAGACCCTTTGTGTAAACCTGTTCATCCCAAACCCCAACACAGTGGGGACTAAGGCTTCAACATATGACTTGGAGGGTGGGGGCGGGGAGACCAAATTCAGTCCACGGTAGTATTTACAGCGTATTCCTAGTTATTCCTCTTCTATTATTTTTCTACCTAGAAAAAAGATAAAATGTGAACACAAATATCCACTAATACCTTGGATGGAAAATTACCAGAAAGACAATATGCTTTATATCATAGGCAAGTTTGTCAAGAGAAAGCAGCCACAAGTTCACTTAAGCCAAACAGAGCAATGCAGCGAAGAAGTGGTGTTCCTGCATGGCTCTACCTGGTGCACCTTTTCCGAGTTGCTCCACAGAGCAGTGTATTTCAGAGGCTGAATAAAAACCCAAACCCAGTCATTAATCATCCAGCACCTTCCGAATGGCACTTTATTGAAATAACGCAAAATGAGAGTGTTCAGTGTATTGTGTTTTCATTCATAAAGTATATGTTTCCTAAAGTTGTCATCTGGGTTGCATAATACATATGTAATTCCCACATTGGTTTTTCCTCTTCTTACAGTTTGGGCTCCAGATTTCCTTTGGTGGGGACAGCTCTGAGGTGTGGGTTTGTAACACTTGTTGATTCTTGGCAGTGGGCAGTTTGTTCTCTATCCCTGTGGGGCTCCTGTGGCTGCCTTATTCACTGGATAAAAGTCATTGGGCAGGAAAGTGTGTAACTTGATCAGAAGACACAACTGCAAAGTTTGTCCTCTTCTAAACCTAAATGTTTCCAAAAAGAAGGGGACTTCCGTTTTATTGGGCTGCCTCATGTGAGGTAGCAAAAGCACCGAATGAAGGGTGAGCCCTTCTTGTGCCGAGCTTTGTGTCTCAAGGATCGATCTTTCTCGACCGTGAGCTCTGTGAGGGGCAGGTACTCTGTGACCTGCTCACCGTTGGATCCTCATCACCCAGGATGGTGTTGGGTGCACAGTAGGTCCTCGGGAAATGTTTGCTTGGCCCATGAAAAACCGAATGGATGGCTATGTGGAAGGTTCTATCAGGGTTTCCTGTACAGGGTCAGTTAAATAAAAGACTAATGACCAATAGGACAAGACCACAGGCAGACATACGTGCCCCTGGCAGGAAGACAGCCCTGCTGCCTCTCTGCAGGCCTCATGTCCCAGTCCTGGCATCTGATTTCCGGTCTTGGCCTTCAGTTCTCTTTTACCTGAGCCCATTCTAAAGAGTGGGTCCTTGGGGGACAGAAGGCCTGCTTGGGACTTACCAGTTTGAGAGACAAAACCCTATTTTCAACAGAAACAAACTTTTATTTCCCAAAGCACCTGATTATTAATACATGATGTGACTTGGGCAGTTTGGTAGCCCTTTGTTTGCAGTCTTAAGACTCCTGAGGCCCTTTCTGTTGATGCTGCTGAAATGTGACCTAGAAAATAGATTTCCGCAGGAGCCCACAAACAGCTTCGCACTTTGCCTCCAGGAATCCTAGCAGACCAGGATGGAGCATGAGAAACCCAGTCCAACATCTGGCTTATCGGTAGACCTTAGGTCCCAAACCCAACTGTTTCCAAATGTCCCATAGGTAAGGAAGGCATCTGGGTAGTAGCCTTTTTATTAGGTTGTGTTGGTATGTCTGGGGATGTGGCCTCATGGGGCGTGGCTTTCAAGGCCTTTGGGTCTCCCAAAGGTCTTAGCCATTAGGAGTGGGTGATGGAGTGGGCACCAGGGGCAAAAGCAAGCTCTTGTATATGTTCAGTGAAGGCCCATTGGAGTCCATATAAGCCCATTTCAGAGACTAGGTGACCAGGAGTGCTTTTACCTTCAACTATTTGCCAGAGCTCTTTGGCTTAGAGGAGAGGTAAATGCAGATACTGTCATGCTAACAAAACTTTATTTCAGGTCCAAGGAGTCAGATGACTTCTCCCTAAATGTGGGTGTGTCCATATGTAAACATGGACACTGAAATGTTAAGATAAAGTGCCCAACCGTGCAACCAGTATTGGAGGTACACTATGGTACCTCCACTAATTGTTGTAACTGTACCTGCAAGAGGTCGTGGAGAGAGTCAAAGAGAGTATATTTCCCACTAACCATCTGTGCACATTTCATAGGTAATGGACCACTGGCATCCCCCTCACTCATGTTTCCATTACGTGGGTCCACACTCCTTCCTAGGCACGTTCCTTCTGACTTCCAGTAGCCATCAGAGCTCATGAGCTGGATGCAGGACATTTACCCAGAGAAGTCCTGTCTTGAAAGGACTTTAAGATTTTATTTATTTATTTTGAGAGAGAAGGGAAGGGAAGGACAAAGAAAGGGAGAGAAACATCAGTGTGTGGTTGCCCCTGACTGGGGACCTAGCCTGCAACCCAGGTACATGCCCTGACTGGGAATCAAATCAGAAACCCTTTGCTTTGCAGGCCTGCACTCATTCCACTGAGCTACACCTGCCAGGGCTGCTCTCCTATTTCTGATGGGGACCTAGCAAGGAGAGGCTGGGGCTGCCGTGTGTATCCTCCAGCTCCCTGGGTCTGTCTGCCTGCCATTCCTGGGACTGAAGGAGGCACCACCACTTCCTTTTCTTTGATCATTGCATTTGTCCTGAAAAATAAGAGCAACCAGGGTCCAGGAGGAAAGAAAAGAACATGGAGGAATAGGGAACCGCTTAGTTACCCCATGTGCCAAGCCACATTCTTCTGTGGCTGATCCGCCTATGAATGTGTGTAGCTCTTGGGTCGGGTGTCTCTCCTATCCATTCAGCTTAGGCCAGTGGCTGAGTATGCAGTACAACACACGGTCCCTGGATAGGGCTGAACATAAGACAGGCAGAGTGATTGCTGGGAGTGGCTCCCTCAAGGTGGGAGAGGTAGGTGGTCTCAGGAGTTTGTGTCTCATACCATGTCATCCCTAGACTCCTTGGGAGTCACTGGCCTGGATGGGACTTCTTTATACTCTGAGAAAGGCACATGAGCAGACATTGGGGTTTTCTTCCACAAGAATACAGCCACAGATAGGCTACTTCTCTGGGACCTGTGGATGGCCAGGGGTGACCTCTTTTTGGCCAACTGGTTCATGCCCCAGGTTGAAATGGCTTTGGAGACCACACCGGGCCTGCCAAGCCTGCAAGTGTTCTTTACCAGCACCCCGTAGGCCCTGCTGGGCAGCTGCGCTGTGAAGGGATTCCATCTCACTGTCTGGTGGAGGCAGAATGAGAAGCAGGCAGGTTTTGGGGTATGAAAGCCTTTGCCATTTTATTTCACAATAAAAAAATTCTGACAGCATAAGAACACTCTGTTCCTGGCAGAGGCCAAGGACATACAAAGTTAATTAGAAAGCAAAGCCTTTAATGACAACAGCTACAGTCAGAGCTCCTGTTCAGTACTTGTCTTTGCCCAATGTGTCTCATGTGGTTGGTGAGGAGTCGCCAGTCTGGGTTTTCCACCCAGAAGCCCATGTACAAGTACTTTCGTATCCTTCATATCAGACCACAGCAACACAATACAGCTCCAGGGGGGGCTGGCTTTTGTGAGCACTTCCAAACTTAGGAACATCTTTTATTTTTAATAGAATATAAAATTTAAAAATTTTATAGCACATTAGTTCAGTGGCTGGAAGGAGCTAACATATTTTGCTTGATAAAACTGAATTATGCAGCAAATACTTTAGTAAGAATACACGTTTCAAAGCATTTTGACATACATGAGGCCACACGCTCCTTAGGAACACCACTGGAGGTAGGAAGTGCTGACGTCACGCCCATTTCCCAGAAAAGGAATCAGAAACTGGTTTACAGTGCGTTGACCGAGGCCTTGACCGTTTATTATGCCTTTTTCAACATTTCCACACCAATGATACTCCTCTGATTGCTTGCTACATACCTGCTCTCATTTCATGAGTGGGCTGAGGGTGAGTTTAGGCATCAGGTACAGATGGGGTGAAATAAGGTGAGGCCACAGTTAATTTATGTAAAATCCATTGATGGCCTCCTTCCATAGTTTACAAAAGGCTGGTCAAGGTCAAAGAACAAAAGTAATCAATTTCTAGATTTCATTGTATAATGGCTTTCACTGTAGTGTGGGTTTGACCTATGGAAACAAATCCTGCCACTTCCCAAATCTCTCTGTTTTTGAGACCTGCATAATCACAGCAACTTAATATCCTCAAACTTGCTTCTAGCACTATTCATTCTATTTCTTAAGTATGCCTTTCCAGAAACACCCTACATGTTAGCACTTAGCACAGACTAGGATTCTGTAACATTTCACCTTAAGAAATCAAGAGACCTTTCAATTCTAGGGAACACTAACTTATACTTGGAAGGGCAGAGCCACGAGAAAATCAATTTCTCTGGAAACCAATTTTGTTTCCAAAGACTGTTGAGAGGCTCATGGGTTTTCTCATCCATGCAAATGTGTGGCCCTGAGCCACAGTAATAGCACCTGAGCTGAGATCATGCATTTCAATTTACAAGTATTTATCGTCTGCTGAGCAAGACTTTGCTAACTGGGCCTTGGTAAGAAATCCTGTCTTAGACTCAGCAGCAGTATCAATAGCACTGGTGGTGGGTGGCAAGTGGTTGGGGCAGGTCTGGCCAGTCTGCCAAGGTTTCCAGCTCATGCATGTTTCACTGATGCACAAGTCAAGGATGACTTCTCCTCTCTGCTGCAGAATCCCTGTATCCACAGGGACTCTTCACCTGCAGGCTGGCATCCTAAGAGTACCGGTCAATTCCAGTCCACAGCAGGTTCCTTTCGAAGGTCCTTTCCACTCATGAGCCCTCATCTGAGTGCTAGCCCCCAACAAAAGCCCTCAATGAGAGGGCTGGGCCAGGGAGCCATGCTCTATTACATGACCCTGCCCTCCGTGGTTATAGCTGATTGGATAGACACCTGACCCAAGGGTGCCTGATCCACAGGCAGATGAACTAGATCAGTGAGATGGTGGAGAATTTTCCCTAGGGGTACAGAGATGGTAGTCAGGGAGGGATGGCTATTAAATAGGAGAGATTGTGTGGAGTGGATCTGAGGGTGGATTTTCATCTGTACATCCACCACTGAAAGCTAGCAGGCCAAGGGAAGCGAGAGAACAGAGCAGAGAGGCAGAGAGAAGAGATGAAAGCCCGTATAAAGAGAATGCAGACAGCAAAAGAGAAGACGCTGTCTCTATCCTTTTCCCACATGGGAGCTGTGTTTTGTTTCTATGAACTGGCCCTGGATCTCCAGTCAAACCCCTGAAAGTGTGAATTAGCAAGTGTGAATGGGCTTCTAGTCCCTGCAAAGTTCCTTGCCTAGAATATCTGTAAGATCAATTCAGAGGCAGACAGAATTCAACCTCTAATTCTTGCATCCTGATTGGTCACTGATCCAAGCTAAATAACTGTCTTTCCCCAAGAGTGTGTGACTGTATTTTGTAAGGGAAGTCCAGAGTATTTTCTGGTGCGTGACTGAAGGAATGGATTAAGTTTAAATTCTGTTCTCAAACTGTTAAGCTAACATCTGTTATTCATTAAACATTGAGTGCCTGTGCGCTATGTAGAGGAAAACAGCAGCTTATTTATCTCTAATCAACATTTAAACCTTTTGATCCATGTCCCTAATTTCTGCCTTTTAGATTAGCATTTCCTTTCGTCAGGCATGTAAATTCCTCTCCTCCTCCATCTGTATTTTCTCTCAGAAGTTTATACTTTTTAGGACAAATCTAATAATTTCCTATTCATTCTTCCATGAAGATTACTCAGAAATTACATGTCCTTCTACCAAATGCACCATATAATACACCATATAACTTCTCCTGGGTCCAGAGTCCAGAGAATTGATTCTTAAATAATCCACCCTATGTTAGTCAGCTCAAGCTGCCGTAACAAAGTACCATAGAGTGTGTGGTTTATATTCCACAGAAATTCATTTCTAAAAGAGGGGAAGAGAGCTCCCTGGGGAGAGGGTGTCCCTTTTACAAGGGCACTAATCCCATTCAGGTGGGCTCAACCCTCATGACCTGAGTACCTCCCAAGGCCCCGCCTTCTAATACCATCACACTGGGGGTTAGGATTTCAACACAGGAATTGTTGGGGTGGGGCACAAACATTCAGTCCATAGCACACGATGAAAGAGGCACCTTCCTGCTCCATGGGTGACACTGCCGTCTTAGGTCATAGGTACCAGGGAACACACACAGACTTTCTCCTGCACCCCCAGGGTTGCCTCCCCGACACAGGGCACGGAATCTACTACCTCACAATGACGAGCTGGCATGGCCTCCCTGGCTGCCTGTCCGGAGCAGGAAGTGGCATTAAGATAGGAATACACCCCTAGAATCCCATTCCCTTGATGGCACTCTCTAGAAAAAGGCAAAATGCATTTCTTTTCAGAATGCAGAAAACTCACATCAAAAGTACAAAGATTCCAAATGTGTTTATTACATCTCAAATTCGTTGTTCTCTAGACGCTTTTCAGAAGTTCTTTACCTACTCCATCATCTTTCTCCTTCACAAGGGCATAGGGAACGTCTCATATGACCCTTGTCTACTTTTTCAACTTCCTAGCATAGTTCAAAAACCATGGACAAGTGTGCAGGCAGCCTGGTGACACAGAAAGCGAGTTGGATCATGAGTCAGCAGGCTTGGGCTGGAATCCCCGGGCAGGTCCCGCTCCTTCTCAGGACTTTGGCTTCCTTCTCCAAGGTCATCTGGGTCCTTGTGGCTTCTTCAACTCTCTGGAGGGTCCTGAGGAACACAAGCCTCTGAGCGCTCATGGAACTCTATTTTAACTTCCACGAGGTACTTCTGACCATTTGCCTTTCCTCTGAGTCAGCTGTCCAGGGACCTGTCACCTCAGCATGAGGCCTGGAGACTCTTCAGATACAGGTCCACATCGTAGTCACAGAATATCAAACAATGGCATCTGTCTCCCCATCGGTGGGAATACACGAACAGACTGACCTTGTCGATTTAAGGTTTCTTCCCATCTACTTTCTTAAACCAGTGGTGTCTAGTTAGAGGGAGTGTCTGATGAAGCATGCTGTATTTTTAGTTGTCTTTGTTGACTAACCCAGTATTTCGTGGGGCTCTGTAAAGACCATGGCGATTCATTCCTCCATCCTCTTAGCCAGCTGGGGCTGTAGCCTCACTCTCCATGAGTCACTGGCACATCCAAAGCTCAGACACTATCTTCGAAGCAGGTGCATATATTTTAATTACACTAAGGTCTTAAAACTTCATTTTCACATACAGTATTTCCAGGCATTTACCGAGTAGACAAAGTACTGGGTTGAATGTCATTGCACTGATGAAATCTTAAGATTACTGATAAGGCGGGACAATGTAGCTGACTTTATCAGACTCATACCATTTGCATGGAAAGGCTGAGTTTCTTTGGCTCTTTGTTCATTCAAGTGCATTGAATACCAATTTGGATAGAATTAGGCGTTGTGTTAATCTGTCGATAAAATCTTGCACTGTCCACAGTGTTTTGCAAGCTGATTTAGGTTTGGGATTACAACAACTAGCCATTGGTAGAAATATACCATATATACACGTGGAAATTACAAAAATACATTTTATTTATAGCTGATTTTTTTTGAAGTAACAAAAAACTAACACTATGAAAGATCAATCAGCATACCAAAAGACACGACCTAAAATCATCCGAACAAGAGACTTGTTTGGGGATTCCATGACACATCTCCGAAAGGGCAATTTGCCAGTGGGAAATAAAAACAGCTTCTTTGAAAAGTCTGTGCTTTGACTTTGAATCTCCCGTTCTAATCAGTTTCTCTCCTACTCTTCTCTCAATGTTTACCTTTCCCCTTCCCTCAGTAAAGACCAAAGAAACTCATGAGAATGGAAAGATGGGCTCAGGGAATGGATACAGCTGAAGCGGCAATGACCTTGGGTGAAGGCAGGACAGGACCTCATTCCCCGACAGACACCAGAGGGAGCCCTCGCCGTGGTGCACAGCTCCCAAAGCTGGCGAAGGGACCAGTGTCTTCTCCCCAAGGCCACCTGCAGCCAACAGTGTTTTGCTTTGCACTGACAGGCGCCTGTGGCAGGTGCCTCAGGCTGGGAGACACTGTCCACCCAGAGGCTGACTCGCCATGGCGGGGTGGGGGTGGGTGACTCGCAATACCACCCTCACAAGGTCGGCAGTCCTGCCATTTCAGCAAATGTCCCCTAGTGTCCATTAACCGTGGGGGTTGGGGAGGGAGGGGACTGGCTAACTCCATACACTTTTTAAAATGTTATTTACATTTAAATGTAACTCAACAGATTTTCTGCATTCAGAAGCTTCTATAAGCAGAGGCTGCAGGCTGAGCAGACTGTGGTTCCACTTTCCCTGCTTCTAGTTCCTTTTGCATCACCTGGCAGCCCAGGCTGGACATCGCTGTTGAAGAGACAGAGATTTTCTTGTAAAAGTCAATGTGTTTGTTATCCCCAGAGAGAGAGAAGCTTCGCTCTCAGGCCACCACCAATAACTGCTTTTCTTTTGTAGGATCCTAAACACTCTTGGCGCTGCTTCTCTTTCAGTTACATCCCAACTTGCAGGGTACGCCGGTTCCAGTGTAACAACCTTTCCAAAAACCTGTCAACGCAAATCAATCCTTTCCTCTCATCTCCTCTCTTTCTTGGCCTTTGTTTAATTAATGGAAGGAGGGGATCAGGACTATTTATAGGTTCAGTCATTGATAGCGCTGACTTTCATCCGATGCATCTGACTTTGAGTATGAATCTTTAAAAAGAAAAGGACTCAAGTTTCTTGGCTGAAGTCCGCGCCTCCCTTACAGACCGGAGGTGACTTTAACGATTACAGTCATGGCTGGATGAGAGAGAGAGAGTACAGTCTGGTGCTTCATCACACGCCTGCACTGCCTTTAACACAGAAACAGAGTTAACATGCAGGGGTCACCAAAGACAGAGCTATGTCCTTCGCCTCCTGGTGATTTACTGAAATGTGGCATTGGACAGGAATCTGGAGATTAGCTAGTATCTCTCGTGACTAAGGCTCCACAGAGAAATGTACCCACAGTTCCAACATTTAATATAACAGAATATCAAGCATATGGTCCCAAGCAGGGACTTCTTGACATACAATCAGTTGCAGAAGTCGAGAATCCAGTTGTTCAAGAGTTTCCTCTGTTTCCCAGAAGTCCCACTGTTCACCTTTTCAGAAACTAAGGATGAGAAAGACTCACCCATGGTGTATGCCTCAAGTCCCAACACATAGGCTTGAGAAGCCCGAAGACTGTTTCCTCAGAGTCTGGCAGTCCCACTGGGCTAAGGCATTAGACCTGGAACTCGAACATGTCTGTCTGTTTCTTGGCCAGCTTGGCCACTTCTTCCCGGATAGCCTTCACGAGGGCCGCGGTGGAGATGTTGGTCAGGGGTGTGTCGGACGGGTCATTGTCTGCCAGGCTCTGCTGGGACGCCGCCGTGGAGGGCACCGGGGCCTGCTCCAAGCTGGGGTGCATGCCGGCCGGCTGGCTGTACTGGCGAGGGAGCCTGGAGGGAGAGTTCTGCTGATAACGTGACCGGGGGTAAGCCTCGATGTACCCTGGGAGGGGCACCTGCAGACAACGAGAAGAGAGAAGAGAGGTGTCAGGGATTAGGAGGGGGCTCGAGTCATAAGCTACACCTGGTCCTGGAAGCAGGCAGCGAATGAGGACAAGGAGAGGGATTCAGAACACAGAGGCCACGTACCATTGTACAGATACAAAACCTGGAGTCAGACTGGTTAGAAAATAGGTCATTTGAACTCAGTGGACACGCTGGTGGGAACATACTTGGGTCTAGATCTGAATCTACTTGGTTACATTTTGAATATAACCAGAATCCAGTGAACAGAATCACACACAAAAAAAATCACAGTACTCTGGAGAAGTCTGGCGGGGACAATAATTCTGCAAACCATCAGAGACCACCTTATGAATGTCCTTTTAGTATAATAATGATGCTGAATCATTTGCTAAAGACAACTTATGTTCCTCTTTTAAAGATGGTGTATTAAAATATTTTAGAAGTTAAAGGGGTAGGCTTTGGTCACCAGGAAAATTCATATATGTAGAATAACTTCATCCTAGTGATGTCACTTAGATGGGACATCACTACAGTCAGGAGAGACACCAACATGAGGCTGAGTTGAACCTGCAGGGGTGGAAAGAATGGACCCCGGGAGTTTAGGCACAGAGGAAAGATGACAAAGGCCTTGGGTGTCAACATTTCTCCTAAATCTAGAATGGACTTCAGATGCTGAGACCAAACCCTGACATGACATGCAGTCCGGGGGGCCCCAGGTTCAGCCCGGAGAGACAGCCTGCCTCTCTCGCCCATGCCGGATGGTCCCACACAGGCACCAGGGCAACCTGTTCTAGGGGCCGTCTGTGCGCCATTTTAGTTCATGGGGTTTGTTTGTTTGCTCTCACTCAGCAGCCCTTGACAGGTGGCTTAGAGGCAGGGTTGGGTGTGAACACCCAGGTTCGTAGGGTGCTCCCCTCTGTAGTCGGGCTGGGCCAGGCCCACTGGGCCACACGCCCCTAGTTCAATGATGGAAGAAACCGGGGGATGACGGCTACCAGTCTTCGGGTGAAAGTCAGGCAGAAAGCCTCAGGGGGTGCACACATAGTAATTGAGTTTCTAACACTTCATTTTCCTGGTATTTCATCTAAAATGTTTACAGAATTTTAAAGCTAAAAGGAACAGATTTAAAAAGGCTTTGCAGCCAGACAGATGAGGTTTGGAATTTGGCTCTAGCCTCCTACAAAGGCTGTGTGGCTTTAGATCAGGCTCAGTGTCCTCATTAGCAAAATGAGACCCATCATGGGAATAATAACACCGACCTGATTCAGCAGAATGGTTGAAGATTAAATAAGATCATATAAGTAAAATAACTGACATGGTGTCTAGCACATAGAAAACACCCCCCAAATGGTAGTTATTATAAACATTTATTAGATTAAGGTTGCCCTGCTAGGAGAGGTAGAACCTGGCAGGTCTCCAGTTCCTCTGTCAAAGAACCACCCATCCTTCCTGTCCCCTTACATGTCCCCTTTCAAATGGCTGACATCAGCCGTCTGGTTGGTGAAACGCAGGCTGAGATAACAAAACGCCCAGTCTCAGCCTCTCCTCCCTTCCCCCCTGGAGTGTCGAGCAGGGCTCTCACCGAATCGGCCCACTGGCTCGGGAGCTCGTTCTCTCCCGAGTAGGACATCCAGGCCTGGTTCCTGTAGGACGAGGGAGGCGTCGGGATGAAGTAGCCGGTGAAGCCCGGTCTGTTGGCCGCTGGGATGGCAAACACTGCCGGCACCGTATTACCTGGCATGGAGGAGATGGATGGGAGAGATCAGGCTATACCCCACCCACTCGGCTGACATTGGCACAAGCCGGGGAAGCTGAGAAACCAGCAGGGGCAGAGGTGAGAGGGGCAGAAACTCTGGGATTGGGGGAGTTGGTAGTGGGGGGGTGGGCAGCAGACCTCCACCTGTAGCCCCAGCCTTGTTCACCTGCCCAGTCGGTATGAAAGGCAGGATCTGCTATGACTCAGACCTGTGATTCAAGAGAAAGGATCGCTGAGCTCCCCCCGCCGAGCCCTCACCAAGTCCCCCACCCTCATGCCAACAGTTCAGGCCTGCTGACAAGAGGAAAGGACACGTCCGTGTCCAGGTGTCTTCCTCCTAGGAGGGTGGGTATTTTTAATGAGCCAAGAAAAGGAACCAAAAGGAATGGATTCCACTGGCGACACTTCCAACTGGTGCTTGCAGTTTCGGCTTAAAAGGGAAGGTGTGAATGAAGGAAAAGACCGGACAGGGCAGGTCCAGACCTCCATGTTCATTTCAGCATTGTCTGTAATACTAAAAAATGGGAAATAACCAATAGGTCCCTCACCAGGGGAAAGGATAAACTAAACCGTGGCATATCATGCCGGAGAATAATATCATGTGGCAGTTTAAACGAGTGAACTAGACCTACCTGCATCCCGCAACCCGGAGAAATCTTAAAAAAACGATGTTGAGTCAAGACAATGAAGTGCAAAAGGAAATGCATAGCTAGGTATCAGTTATGTAGATGTAAAGTATATAAAGCATTAATGTATACCAGTGATTTTCAACAGATGTGCCACAAGAGTTTCTAAAACATGCAATACCTGACTCTTTGGTTAGGAGCACTAATCTCTTTTCCCTTAGATTGTCAGATTAAAAAAAAATGACAACAGCTAAACAGAACAATAGCCATCTGGTATCAATAAATAAAAATTATACCTATTTTTTTCACCTGATCAGCAAAAAATATATTTTCTAGTGTGCTGCAGAATGTTAGCAAGTAGTTTATGCTACCTGCACGAGATGGGGAACGCTGCAGATCGTTGCTGCACACTGTTGTGTAGACACCCGTATGCAGGAAAAAGTTAACGCCCGGGGCTCACTGACTGTGTTTACCTCTGGGAAGAAGGGGAGCGAGATGGGGGTGGATGGTTGTGTCTATAATGCTCTAAAAATATATACAATTAAAAACCCCCTAAAATCTGGCAAAATGTTAACGTATACCCTGACTGTAACATATTAATATTTTGTCAGGTTTCAGGTCTTTTTAAGAAGTAAAAGCAGTAACTCTCCAGAAATACTTGAGGAGTCTTGAGGGCGGCAGGTAGAAGGTGGAGTGTGGATCTGCGGAGGCGCGGTCAGGCCGGGCCTTTTCTCTTCTTGCTCACCTGAGTAATTTAACGCCGACTGATCCAACTGCGCCACGGACACGGGGCCTCTGGACACGTGCGCGAAGGAGGGGCTGTCGTGCAGCTGGGTGGGCTCAGGCCCGGAGGACTCTGCCATTCTGGTCTTGCTGCCGACGTCCGAGGTGGACCTGGGCAGGCAGAGGGCTACGTTAGCCGCTTCCCCGGGCTGGGCCCGTCACCTTGGGGAGCCGCGGCAGCCTCCGAGCCCCTGGAGGGTGGGGTCCTCCGGTCTGGATTTGCTCCCAGATAACAAAGGGGGCCAGTGCGCCCAGACCCATAACAACCATCACCGAGGTGGGGGCCTTCTTTGATATTCAAGGTTGGTGCCCCCCTGAGGGTGGCTTTTGTGTCCTCGGGGAGTATCATATTTAATTTACACAGAAAAATTAAGCCAAGCAATTAGCGCTGAGTATTAGCTGGGGATGGTCGACCTGGGAGGTGATGACATCATCGGCAGCCAATGAGAAGGCTCCGTCTGGAGTGCGAGGGCCCTTCCCCCTCCGGACACCAAGACTGGGACTTGGTGGAGGAGGGCGGGGGTGGGGGTGGGGATGTGGGAGCAAGGAGCCTAGGAAGCTCTAAGCACAGGAACCTACCAGCACTTTAGCATTTCCTGAGCGTTATGAATGAGAACGCATTTTTTCTCTTTTGGTCCCAGGCAAGCAGAGAATCTGGCCCATTTAACACACCGTATTTCCACTTAGTGCTCAGAAAGCCATGGAAGAAGAGGGCAGCCTGGGCTCCACCGGCTGCCTCTCCCCTTATTGTTACAGGTGATTTAGCTGCAGACTCTGTCTTCCCTTTCACAGAGAGACTCCAGGTTGCCCTAAAATTAAAATGGCAGGGAGGCAAAGGCAGCCACCGCAGGTGGCAGGCTGCCAGCAATGGGGGACCACCCTCAAAACAGAGGTGTGAACCTCTGTGAAACAGAGGGGTTTGTGGAGAGGGCAGTGACCCCTGGCAAGGATGGCAGAGGGTGCAGAAGAACATGGGAGGAGACTGGTGGTTGGGAAAAGAAATGAAATAGACGCTGGCCTTGGGCAAACCTACCACAAATGGTGGGTGTGGAGCTCTTCCCAGCCGGAACCCTCCGGAATAACTGAGAGGCCCTGTGCTGTTCCCCAGGGAGGGTTAAACGCAGAGGCTGTGATGATTTAGCTGTGTCTGGGCGGGCACACACTGGGGCTCAGCAGTATGGGGGGGGGGGTCTCCCTTTCTTTCTCAATCCCTCCCTCCTTCTCTGGCCTGCTCATTCCCACAGCCCTGGCTTCCCTTCTGCTGTTCCCAGCATCTGCTACCTGTCCAGAAAACCCTTCCCAGGAGAATCCCTGGGTTCTGCACTGTACACTCAGTGCCCTTTAAGGATTCCCAGAGCCTCTGAGATCATTTAGGTTATTGCTCTCATTTCACAGATAAGGAACCAGAGACCAGACAGGTGAAACAACTTGGCGTTACAGAGCCAGTTACTGGAAAGTTAGATGGAACCCTGGTCTGCTGCTTCTCAGCGCACTCTGAGCTCAGCTGGGGCCAAGCAGTGGTGTGTACACATAGCTGGGTGTTCTAAACTGCTGCAAACGAGGGCAGGGTTGTCGCCGAGGGGAAGTCATTTCTCTTCCCTGTTTTCACAAATGCAAACGGTTGGTTCACAGAGAGGATGGGACCAGTGTGACAGGGGCAGGCAAGGGTCCAAAGGCAAGGGCAGTGGCAAGTGCGTACCCCTGGGACCAGATGTGCCTCCTGGCCCTGCACAAGACGACTATTTAAATCTCTCCCAGGGCTCATGGCCTTTGTGTTGCTTGTCTATCTTTATTAAAAACCGTGCTTTTTATATTACACAGCAAAGAGTATGCTGGACACATCTGAGTTCATGTGCTTTCAGCCTCTCCCTTTTGGAAGTCATGAGTTGGTGTGGGTGCTGAGACATGCGGCTCCCTGGCCTCTTGGACACCACCCCTAGTGACGAAGGGACTTCTGGATGTGCACACATGACAGGAGGTGCCCAGACTGGAGGCAGCCAGTAAGCTGGAGTAATTTTTAGATGTTCAAGGTCAAAGATGGGGCTTTCCGTGTATGGGGTTTCTTCAACTGTGGATTCTACAGGACTTTCTATTTACAACGACAAAAAGCCAGCGAGCCCTCTATGGCCCCCACTTCCTTCATGGCACTTGGGGCGCTGCAGGCACATGGTTGTCTGCACAGGTGATGTGCCCAGGATGGGGCCCAGCGTGAAGGAAGTGTGTCAGGTCAGGGTACACAGGACCAAATCGTTTCCAAATATTCTAAACAAAGAAAGGACTGTGTTACCGCCTGAGAGAAGCGACAGCCACAGGGCCAGTCCGTGGAGGTACAGGTGGAGGAGGAGAGCCCATGACCATTTCAGGAAGCTGGGAAAACCTGTAGGCCTGTGAAAGAGACAAGCAAACAGAGGGAGATGTGTTAAAACCCAGAGTTGACTAACACATAAATTGTTATTTAAAAGGGAAGCAAATTTCCAAGGGGCAGGCTTTCCTTGCTTCCTCAGGGTTTTCCCCCAGATCTTCCCTACCATGTTCCCCGGCCCCTTCTTCTCCCTCATCTCCTACCACTCTCCCCTTTGCTCAGGCCACTGCAGCCATGGAGCCCTTCAATTGTTCTTTGCCAAAGTGTTCTTGGCAATCAAATAGGCTGAGTTCTTTTCTGCCTGGGCTTTTGTACATGCTGCTCCTTCTCCCTGGTGTGCTTTTCACGTTGCTTGTTCACTCATTTATTATCTGCCACTGCCTAGACTGTAATGAGCGCAGGGACTTTGTTGCCAGCTATATCCTCACTCCTGGAACAATGCCCTGCTGTATCAAAGATGATCAATACATATTAGATGAATGAATGAATGAGCCACTGATTGCATTCCACTTTCTCACTCATGGAAATAAAGTTTAACGGGGGAAAGCAGTGGGTTTGGATTCAGGATGTGTGAGTGGAGGGCCTACTTTGCTGAGGAATAAACTTTATTCCCTAAGCAAGTCATGTGACCTCTCTGGGCCTCAGTGTCCTTCTCTGAAATGGAGCAAAGACACTTGCTCAGAGGGGCACTAGGAAGATCAGGCAAGTCGGTGCATGTGTAAGTATTTTGCAATCTATAAAACACCATTCAGAGATAAAGGATTGGGACTGTCGGGAAAATGAAGCCTTTAATCAACACTTGAGGGGTAAGAGGACAACGGTCGATGACAGATGGGACCAGAGAGCCAGGCCACAGCCTTCTCAGCCTGAGAAAATCCAGAAATGCTCTCTGGGAAGACAAAGCTCAACTTGTGCTTCTCATTCATTCTTTTCTGCAGGTACCATGGCCCGCCAGCCCTCTTGGGGAACAAGATGACAAGACCGAAACTGAGGGCATCAGGACAAAAAGCAGCAGTAGAGGGAATCTATAAATAGGATTCTTTAGACTGAATGAGTCTAAAAAATTAGACATTATGGCAATTCGGCATGATGGCGGATGGCATCCTTGTAAGGGCCAGCCCACTAAATAACAGCAAGGTCCTGGATAAAACATACCTCTTAAGCACAGTGGGGTTTGCAAGATGTAAGGGAAATTTCAAGGACTCCGTTCCACCTTTCACACTGGCTTGCTACTCACTATTGCCACCTCTGGTTTCAGCTCATGGTTTTATTTCCGTCCACAGAGGTGTGTTATGTGGGGCGGGAGGGTGGGGGCGTGGTGCTCTGGTGAATTTGGCCCCTTCACTACCTGTATGATGACAACCCTAAACCCTCAGATTCTGCTGAGAATTTAAAAATCATTGTCCTGGATGTCTTTCCAGCTTTGCATTCTTTTATTATCAACAAACCAGCAAATAAGGACATACCTTTCCCAAAACAAAGAAAAGGATTTAGAGTCCCTCTTCTCTCTTCTGACCTCTCACGATCAGCAGTTTACAGTTGTTTGTTCAGAAAAACAATATAATACTTCATAAACAATAACAAGAATAAACTGTTTTGCATACTCACAACTGTAAACTTTGTTTCGCCCTACCCTGCACGTGACAAGATTAGAGTGTTTCCTAAAATCTCAATGAGAAAACCCCTTCTTCCCCCATAAAAGTGCATACTCATTTAATGGGCCATTCGAAAACTGTCATGGAGCAGTATAGTACGGTGACAGGTTTGTAAGGTTCAGTGAAAACTTGTTTCATTTTCTGAAAAAAGGACTCGGACTCCAGACTGATGGGAGCGCCATGGCTGCAGTGGCCGCAGATGCCGATGCCCCTCTGGAAGGCAGTGCTTCTCGAACCTCCCCAGCCGAGTCCCTGACGGCGGAGGCAAAGGCGGATTCCTGAGATCTGGGCATTGCTCTAAAGCTGGGGTGTCAAGCTCATTTTCACTGGGGGCCACGTCAGCCTCCTGGTTGCCTTCAAAGGGCTGAAATAATTTTAGGAACATATAAATGTAACTACTCCTTAACTGTTAAGGAGTTGAAATTACATTCGGCCCTTTGAAGGCAACCACAAGGCTGATGTGGCCCCCCGGTTAAAATGAGTTTGACACCCCTGACCGAAAGCCAGATCTCTTTGAGCTTCAAAATTATATTAAGAATTTTACATCAGTCCACCCACATCTCAGGAAATAGGATGGAAAAAGATGTCCCCTGTTCGTCCCATTTCCTTTATTGGCTATACTCTCTGGATTTGTACATTGCAGACTGAGAAGATGACTTTAAGACCAACCAGTTCTTCCAATAATGTCTCACTTTCCCCAAATTGGCTTTTACTTAATGAAAGACCCTGCTGACCAGCAAACCAGTATTCTGGTCCCTCTGGTCGTCTGGCTTCTCACTGCAGGTCTGTGAGTTAGTCTTCTTAATAACAAAGCAGCTGTTCTGAGCCTGATCAGCATGAGTTCGAGTCCCAGGAGCTGAGCACTCCGGCGTGAGTGGACAAAACAGAAACCGTGTACCTGTCAGCCTCGGGACCGGTCCCCACCCCAGCTCAGCCACCCCTGCCCCAGAGGTTCAGTTTCAAATCAACTTTGGTCTCTCCTGCTAAAGCTTAATCAACACGAAAAGATTAGGCTCAAGGATGACATTCTAGAGGAGGGCACGATGGAGAGAGAGAGAGGCAGAGGGCATTTGGAGCAGCGCCAAGGGAAGACACCTCAGTGTCTTCCTGGGAGAGGGGAGGCGGACCTGGAACAAAGGAGGATAAGGAGATTCACAGCAGTGTGCAGACTGTGCAGTTACACAGCACAGCAGCTGTTTATTAACCGCTAGCATAGTGTAAGGGCAGGTGTAAGGTGGTTCGAGGTTATCACAAGGCTCCACACGCCCAGAGGTGTCCCAAGTAAGATGGATCACACTGGAATCAGCAGAGAGCAGAACAGCACGCTGGTTAAGAATATGGCCCCAGATGGCGTGGCCTGGGGCCCCAGCTCCGTCCCTTTCCGGCTCTGCGACTAGAACAAGCTGTGTAACCTCAGTTCCTCGTCTGTAAAACAGGGAGAAAACTAGCACCTGTGTCAGAGGCTTATCGTGAGAACGAAATAAAGGAGTTAACATACACGGGACACCTAGATCAGTACCTAGCAACAGAGAAACACTCAATAAATGGTGGCTTTTATTATGTAATTACTTAGCACAATGACAGTTTATAAAATGCATTAATCAGTAACCCTTGGGGAAGGCTATGACACAGTACAAGGGCGGAATCTGTACACATACAAAGCATTGTCGTTATGGCCTGTGGCTTATAAAACCAAGTCTGCCTTTTAAAATTGTTGTTTAAATCATGGAAGCTCTTTGTCATTGGGTGCTTTCTCAATACTGAAGTGCATGCAGTTGCCACTAAATGAAAAGACTGTGACCGATACTTCTATGGCATTTACTGTGCACCTGGCATTCTAGTACCTCACATATATATCAACTCGTTCAATCTTGACAATAACCCTAGGAAGTAGGTTATTTTTATTTGTTGATTTCATCAGTAGAGAATTTAAGTCACACCCCTAAGTGACAGAGCCAGTGAATGATGGAGCTGGGACTCCAAATCAAGCCACCCAGCCCCAGAGCACCTGCTCTGAACCACCAGCTCTGTGATGCATTTTGACATTTAAAACGGGTCCCCACACTTGGAAGTGTAGGAAACCACCAGCGCATGAAGAATGAGGTCAGCCCCTCACAGGAGGGTTGCCAGGAAAGGAAAATGATCCTGAAATGCGTTACACAAGGGCTTCCTGCATGCCTGTGCCCACGGGACTACAAGGCTGAGGCCCGGAGCAGGAGTAGAGGATGGGATAAAAGCCCAGCAAAGTTCTTTCTCCAAGTCCCAAGGTGACTTATCACTAGAAGTCCCCTCTCTGAGACACCTGTTAGAAGCCCCCGGGCAGGACAGACCTGATAATAGCGGACAGGCAGAATGTCTGACTTACCGGCCGGGGCAGACTGTACTGGTACATTTCTGGGCGGTAGGTGGGCACCCACTGCACCCCAGCCCTGGGCCTCGTCATGGTCCCCGGAGCGCTGGTCACCACCTCGGAGTAGGGCAGGTGCTGGGTTGAGCCGTAGGCCTCCTGGTGCCGGCTTTGGCCTGCATGGCCCGCGGACGCCAGGCTGAAGGCCTCCTCCAGCAGCATGTGCATCTGCTGCCTGACCTCGTCGATGGAGGGCTGGGAGCTCAGCGTGGACGTCTCAGAGTGGCCTTTCACTTGCCTTGACCTGGCGTAGCCCCGGGGCTCGTTAACCCGGTCGATGTTGGTTTCCTCTATGATTTCGGGCTCGGTCTGCGGGATCAAAGAAATGCCCATTGATTTGTTAATTTCCCTTTTCATTAATGCTACCTGTAATGTGCTCTACAATGTTTAGCCCGAACAGGTGATATTAGGTACGTGTGCTAACTTAAGTTCTATTCCAGGTGTCCTATCCAGGATCCACACGATGGGGTAGTCAGCGACCACCAGATCAGTGAGGCCACACTTCAGCCATCTCTGGGCACTTCAGTTGCCCAGAGATGCCACTGGCTTAGCTAACTTCGTTGATGACATTAATGGTATTCTCTAAAACCTTTTAGAGACAGTCTCTGCTCTTATGCCTTTTAGGTAAAAGAATCTTGAATGTTCTGCTGTCTATACTTCAAGGGTTGGCACTCTAGATTCTAAACTGACTCTCTAAATGGTCCTGAATCCAGCCACTGGTTAGCAAATTGTTGGATGCCTGATGCCGGTTTTGGAAAGAACAATACCCGCCCCCAGATCACTGATCTCGAGGAGTGGTGCCCACTGACGCAGAAGCTCTGGGGGCAGGACACAGCATCTGTACCTTAACAAACCCACCCGGAGATTCTGATGCCTGATGAAGTTGGAGACCCCAGAATGATCTCCCACCTTCCTCCAGTGGCCCTTTCATCTGGGGAGCAGCGACAGTATCTAAGTGCACAGGGAGCTAGGACTTGGCACTTCAGAGCAAGCTACATGGGCTGTCTTAGGCCTGCCTGCTCATGAATGCTTATTTAACAAGCCTTCAGGTGTGGCAGATTTTGGTCTGAGATGGGCTTTTGTGATAACCTAATGGTGAGGCCGTGGGAGAGCAGTTAATCCACAGCCACTTCAGGTTTGTCTGTGGCTACATTGTCAGCTAAAGGAACTTGGGGGCTCTGTGAGGGTAAATAGGCGTAGGTCAGTTTGCCACCCTGTTCTCCATTCATTACTTCAGCACAGTCATCCCCCCTTATCCATGGGGGATACAGCCCAGGACCCCAGTGGACTCCTGAAACCACAGGCAGTACTGAACCCCATACAGGGTGGGGCAAAAAAAGGAAGTTTAAGTTGTGAGTATGCAAAACACAGAGTTTATTCTTGCATTACTATGTATTATTATATTATTTTCCATATGAATGACTATAAACCTACTTTGGCCCACCCCTGTACATACTGTTTTTTCCTAGGCATACATACATGCACACATGCCTATGATAATGTTTAATTCATAAATTAGGCGCAGTAGCAGATTAATAATAACAATAACAAGTAATAAAACAGAATAATTATAATAGAATAGAATAGAATAGAATAATTATACTGTAATGAAGTTCACATGACTGTGGTCTCTCTCTCTTTCTCTCTCTAACTGCCATGGTATAACCCTGGTGGCTACTAAGTGACCCCTGGGTGGGGAGTGATGACTGTCGTATCCCCTGACTCCTTAGTCAAGGGTTGTCGCGGAGACTGTCCTTGAACTCTGAGATCTGTGTAGGTGCCAGATGGGTGGCGAGAAGCCTCAGTGCAGAAGAGATAAGGAGCTGCCGAGGCGACACAGCCGCACTGTAGCAGTGCCACCGCTGGGGCGGAAAGCTGTGCCGAGAACATAAAAGACAGAGCGGAAAAGACGTTCTGCTCAGGAGGCACTTAACTTTTCCATGTTGCAGTTGCCTTGTCTGTAAATGAGGGTAATAATGAGACTGGTCTCCAAGGGTTTTATAAGGATTAAATAGGATGCATGTACAGATTTTAGAACAGGAGCACATGGGAAACACATGTAGCAGCTGGCCATCGTCATAATTGTCATTATTACTTTTATTCAGTCGACTGCACATCTTTCTCATGTGACGACTGGGTGTAAAGCACTCACATATATTAGACTGGGCACCACAAGGGAACACCGTCAGCGTTCACATTCATAAAGGAAAGTCCTTCCCTCCTTAAAACCTCTACGTGGCAGGTCAGACTCTTGGTATTTTACATATTTTAGAAATTTGTTAACTTTTCTTTAGTTTAGATTAACGTATGCTCATAAAGAAAGAAACCAAAAATAGAGACAGCACAGAAAAGAAATCAGACATCTCCTATTATCACCCAGGGTTAGGGAGTGGCTATAGTTCAAGATCGAAAGACAAGGCTCTCTGTCCACCTTCGAGTCTAGATTTATCAACGAACATCTAAGGCAAGTGGTTCAGAATACTATTTTTATGTTAACATAAGTACGGACACATTATGGAGTACAATGCCAAATTACGGTTATGATAATGAACAAGAACTCACAGATATTTCACACCTGGGGGCATGGCTGCAAATCCCCTGGCTGGGGATGCCCTAGGGCATGTTTGCATTGGAGCTCTTTAGGGAAATGTAATCTCCGAAGGCCTGGTGATACCTTCTAGGGCAGTAAATGCAGCTTCTGAAAAACATTGTCTTCACAATGCACAAAACACCCTGAACTGAATTTCAGAGCCTGAAGAGAGTTCATGAGACCATTTAATTCAAGCCCACTTTACAGATGAGGAGGCTGAAGCCTGAGTGTTTAACTGGCTTAACCAAAGTCACCCGGAGGTGGCAGTGGCAGAGCCTGGCTCTCCTAGCTCATGTCCCTGCTGCATCCATACGCCAAGGAGAGAGGCCTGCAACAGGTCCTTCTCTCACGGCCCTCAGGAGGAACAAACTCGCCAACACCTTGACTTCAGACTTCCAGCCCCCAGAACTGTGAGAAGGGGTTCTGTTGTGAGCTCTGTATACTCTGCTACGACAGCCCAAGCTGACTACTACATCGACTGTTTGGCTGAAGCCCTGCTTGTCAGGGGATGCAGCTGGAGAGGGAGGCAAGGACCAGATCTTGAAGGCCATGGTCAGAAGGGTAGACTGTTTTCAAAGGCCAATGAAAAGTCCTTGAAGAATTTTAAGCAGAGGAGAAATGTGATTGAAATCTGTGGGAGGTCGGTTGGAAGACTCTTACAGGCAAGAAGAGATGGCAGGAGCTTCGGTTAGGATGGACCAGGACAGAGAAGGTGTGGATGAGCTCACAAGAGCTTTTGGAAGAGCACTGACAGGATTGGATAGATGAGGTGTGAGGTTGAAGTAAAGGAAGGAGTCAAAGCTGAGACCTTTATTGAGAAGGGGCATCTTGCTACGTGGGTGTCCTGGATATTCTCTGAGCTCCCCAAGCGTAGGTCTTCCTCTGGGCCCTTCCACCGGCTGTTCCTTCCGCTGGGAATGCTCTTCCCCCCAGAGGTCAGCCTGCCTGGCTCCCTCATTTTAGTTCTCTGCGCAGAAGTCACTTTCCCAGAGAGCCCTACGCTGGTTGACCCATAAGGAGCACCTCTTGCTATTCTCCGCCACCTTGCCTTGCTTTATGCTCCTCCTCGGTACTCTGACATTGCACAGACAGCTACGTGTCCACGTGTTTGTTAACTGTCCCCTTACTGGAATTTGAACTCCAGGAAGGCAGAGCCGTTGTTATGCTTTCTGCTGCATCTCAGGATGGCAAATAGTAGGATTTTAATAAATACTTGTGGAATGAATGAATGACAACTAGTCTTAAAATAGAGCCTGGAGAATGTCTGCTCAAAAGTCTTCAACAGTTAAAGACATTTATGTGTGTTTAAAATGAATGAAACAGCCCTGGTTTGTGTGACTCAGTGGACTGAGTGCTGGCCTGGGAGCTACAAGGGCACTGGTTCGATTCCCAGTCAGGGCATGTGCCTGGGTTGTGGGCCAGGTCCCCAGTTGGGGGAGTACCAGAAGCAACCAATTGTTTCTCTTACGCGTTGATGTTTCTCTTCCTCTCTTTCTCCCTCCCTTCCCCCCTTTCTAAAAATAAATAAATAAAATCTTTTAAAAAAAGTCTAAGGTGAGTGAAACAACCTCATTTAAAATGGAGCTGAAGAGGAGGCACGAAGGACTCTTGAAGCCAAGTGTTCTAGAATTCCCTGAGTTACGGGCCCCAGAGTGGATGGATGTCTTACAAGGTCCTACTCTGCAGGATACACAAGTGTGTGCAATATCGCTTTGCCTCGCCCAGGCACTTCATTCCTGGAGCACAAGAATTTGAAGGCTCTCTCCCCAAAATCTGCTTCAAGGCAGTGATTTGCAGCTCGGTGTCCATCACCATTTCATCCAGCAAGGAGGCCGGATACTGAACAAATTCTGCCACTTCACGGCAAAGACCAAGTAGGGGTTTCAGCAAGATAGATTTCTGGGCCCCTTGGCCATGATGCACTGCTCCGGCTGCATGTCCACTTTTGTCTCCATCAAATCAGGTCCTTTGGGCCACATAAAACAGTGCTGCCTCTCTCCACCTGATGCCTGCTCCGGCTGTTTAACAGCCTCATTGCAAGTGCTGCCTGTCATCAAGGAAACAGAGACATTTGCAAAACTGCCCCTGGAAACCAAACCTCTGGGGCTTTCACTTCCTCTGCAGGAAGAAGGCTGTCACAGCACAGGGGCAGCCAGCAGCTTCGCCCACCTCTCAAAAGCTTCTCCGACAATAAATAGAAGTTGCCCCTCAGAACAGAGGCTGGGGGCGGGGGGTGTCAGAATAATGGTTTGATAACTTCTTTTCTGAACAAGTGTACAAATGGAATTTAAATAAAACTCTCAGCAAATTTTCTAATCATTCTGGCGGCTTTCCAAGGGGTGACCCACAACCACATATTAAGCATATAAACACAACCTGCTGCTTCTGTTTTTCAGGTAAGTAGGAATGGCATTACAGGGTCTCTCATAGATTTCTCAGCAGAGTGGCATATTTTTCAGTTGTCTGTTGCCTTTAACATTGAAATAGATGACAACATGTTTTTCTACAATTATAATATGGAGCTGTCTGTGAACAAAAGAGACCAACTTTTCGGCAAATGCCTAGGAAAGAATGGTCAAGTTCATCCAGGGTTTTAAGTAGCATCATCTATGCAGCTGGAGTGCGATCAGTATTTGGGGACAGAGGTAAATATCCACAATCTGTAGATTCCTTTGATTTCCTTTTTTGATGCCTGACTTGCCATCTGGTGATGCTGGGC